ACTTCCAGCAGCGCTGGCATAGCGGAACCCCGGTGTGTCGTGTGGCAGGCCTGCTTGAGCAGGACAGCCTGGCGAGGAAGATTGGTTGGCCTAAGGCCTTCTTGGCACGGGTTCCCTGCTGGGAGTCCCAAATGTTGCAGTAGACGGTGCACGATGTCGAGTGCGCCGAGTTGCGTCTATCTGAGGCTTGGTGCTCAGATAGGCAAAGACCTCAGCATGAACCAAGGTACGGAGGGCCTTTTCAAGCGCCTCCTGGGTGATCTTCAGCCCTTTTGGATCAAAGTAGGGAACGTCGAGTATCTTTTTAAAAGATGTCGATGATTGGAGCACAACCTTGAACAGGGTACCCGTTGGAAGGCTTTCACGGATGAAGTTGCGCAGTATGTCCAGGTCGGACGGGCTGGCAACAGCGGGGGTGACCAATGACAAACCGTCATACCGGAAACCAGTTTTTTTTTTTTATCAACAATTTATATAGCGGTGCTCGATGGCAGCCCGCTTGCTATCTACAAACACGTACGCTACGCAGCCTGGTTACTAAGTAAACCACTAAAGGACGACCGCCCCCCCAACCAAGACCCTTTGGGCTCAAACGCCGAAACTCCCCAGAGGGCAACCCACCTCGCGAAAACAGTGCATCGGGATAAGGGGAGGAAACCATCGAGGTTCCGCTATGCCCCAAAGTCGTCGATCGCTGTTCGGAGGCCACGCAGCGCAAATGAAATAAGAACAGCACCACCCGGGAGGTGGCAGGGTGTCTTGAGGCCGACAAGCCAGAGAAGCGCCTGCCCGAAACCAGACGCAGAAAATTAGCGGCGCCGCAACCCGCTACAATAGCGGCCGCAAGCGCGAAGAAATAGCGGCGGGCGCAGGTCTTCGAACCCTAGAGCTCGGTGGTGTCAATTCACCATAAATCCCCCGAAAGGAGGAACAACCCCACCCACCACGATTATCCGACACCCGAGGGGTCTCGGTTGAAGCCAAACGCCGTGGGGTTGTACTTCATAAACGATGCAATATCCCCGAGAAAGCGGGGATAGTGTACAGAATATCTATCGCGACAGCGAAAGAGGATATGCTGGCGGGACTGCAAAGCAGCCCCGCAAGTGCAGCCGTGAGGCTCGTTGATCTTGAAGCGACGATAATACGCTCCAATGGGCGCGTGGCCAGTTATACACCGGCAGACGCGGGCGAACTCAGTAATACTGTGTCCGAATGTTGAGAGCCAAGGTCCCCCATTGAGGTACGATGGCTGTAGCGGCCGCCCGTCAGGCTGTTGAAGCTCTAGAAATTCAGAGCCTCGGTAGGTTGGATCTTGGAAAGTGGAACTCCACGAATCCAAGACTGAGTGTGCCGCTCGAGAACGTAGCGCGTCTATGGAGTTGTCCGTCTTACGACGTCCAACCCTGACTTTGAGCTCTGTGACGTACTTGTGTGCCTCACCATGGATGTCCCACCGCAGAGCAGAAGGGACGTACACGAAGGTTACGCAAGACCTTAAACAACGCGACAAACTGACAGGCTGAAAGCCTGACCAGAATGCACGCCGGGGTCCACCGCTCTATGGGCTGAGCCCATAGAGTCAGTAAAGACCATAATATGTTGGCAGTTTGCCTGCTTGACAGCAAGGCGCACTGCGCACGAGATGGCATTGAGTTCCGCATCTGGGGCAGTAACTCTGCCAGAGACATAGCGGGTCCTCTCGAGCTCGCGATGTCCCTTGTAGATTATAGCAGCCGAAGCTGCCTGATACTGGTTGGACTGAGGGACAGAGCCATCAGTTGCAGCCAGTACTGTTAGTGGGTCGGCCCTTGCTTTCGCAATGAGCTCGTCTAGATATGGGCGCCTATCCTGGCCAGGATCACGCTCGTCAAAATGGAGACGGTCCGCATAGCGGTCCAGTAACCGGTCGCCTGGACGAGCTTCGGGCGCAAAGGGCTCGAAGCTCTCAGTTAAGGTGTGGACGCGCTCGTCCACTTCCATGACAGTGCTCTTGACTTTCCCCCGCATGGCTGGGGTCATCAAGGCGGCAGAGCGAGCGTGTGGTGCGGCTCGCTTGAGGAGTCCCTCGCCCATCATAGAGCGGAGGGGGTGAGTGTCTGAGAGGGTAGCGATGCGATACACTGCGCGCGTCGCCAACTTCTTCAGCATGAGATGGACGGGGATGAGGCCAGCGAGGGCCTCAAGACCGCCTGTGGGTGAGGTGCGGAATGCACCCGTGATCCATAGAGCAGCTTTTCGCTGCATCCGTTTTAGCTGGTTCATCGCGCCCTTATTGCGGCG